GAGAGCCGGGGCCGACCGGGGCAGGTCGCAGCGGTGCCTGGGAGCGGCCTGCCAGGGGCGGCGGCCTCGGAGTGCGGCGGCGGGCAGCGGCAGATCGTCCTCTTGCTCGGTGCAGCTCGTGCAGGGCGTGCTACCTCCAGATCCATTCGCCTCGCTTTCTCCGGTGCGTGTCTGTTTTATTTTCCGCCTCTGCCGAGAGGGCGCCGCGCTCCGGGGCCAGTAGAGAGCCCGACTCGCAGCGGGCTCCCTTCCTTCCCGCCACCTCAGGCCACCTCGTCCGGCCGCTGGCGCGGAGCAGGAGGGAGCCCACGGCGGGGGCCAGGCGGGGGCGGAGGGGCCGCGCCCGCGTGTGCGGAGTGAGGGAGGGACAGAGGGAGGAGGGAAGGGCACAAAGGCCGGTGGCGGGCGATGGAGTCTGGCCGGCCGGCCGTGGAGGAGGGGCGCCTTGCGTCCGCTCATGAATATTAACCCGGCCTGCGGCCTAGCGCGTCCCAGCCGGGCCCGGCGCCCGGCCCGCGTCCCAGCTCTTACCCGCCCTCGTGCCTTTGAAGCTTGGGCACAGCACGGCGGGAAGGGTAAGCCCTTTCCTTCTTTCTCTTTACCTCCAGTCTCCCCACACCTTTTTAAAAGTACATATTTGGGCCTCTCTTCCCGGGAGATCGAGATCACCGACCCGCCTCAGGAAGGGGCGGAGGAAATAGTGGTAGGTGGGTGGTGGTTTTCTTATCTTTTTTTTTTTCTAGGTGGTTACTGGGAAAGGGAAGGGTAGTGTCGGGACGTAGTTTAGGGAGCAGCAACTAAATAAAAGTTGCTTAAGCTGTGGCTTCATTTATGTAGCTGAAGAAAAATGCCCTGGAGAGGGAGCTGCGCCCGGTTCCCACCCGCGGCGGCACACGCCTCCCGCCGGGCTCCGCGCCGCTCCCCACCCAAGTCCCGCCGCGGGCCAAGGAAAACAGCCGCCTCCTCGGGGAGACCCGGAACCGGCGGCGGAGCGTGCGGCTCCCGGACTCATCCCGGGCGCTCGGGCCAGTCTGCCTGCAAGCGCCGGCCAAGCGGCGCTGGCACTGGCCGTCAGTGGCTTGCTTTTTGTTTGTTTTGGGGGGATAGAGAGGGCCGAATAGGGTTTTTGAAAATTATTATCCCATTTTTAGCTCACTGGGGAGAAAACTTTCCTTAAGTGTACGTATCTGAGCGATGCAAAGAATATATATACTTCCTCCCTTCTGCCCAGAGAATAATGAAAATGCACTTCAAATTTTTTTTAAAGAAAAACAGCAGAGAAATGTTTGACGCAACCACCGTGCAGTTCTGATGCTTCTCATTTTTCCCCTTGATTTATAGGGTTTTTTTTTTTTTCTTCTTTTTTTTGTATGGGATGATTATTTAAACTTTCATTCGTGTTGATTATCAGCATGTACCAATTAATCCGTTCAAGTGTTGTAAACGCTAACTTGGTACGGACATGTGGACAAGGCTAAGCTCAGCCTATGGAGAAAGTTGACGCCCTTTAACTTTTTCTTGTTCTAGGAAGATCTTGGGGGCTGACGCTCGAGACTCCATGACACACTCCGATTCTTCTTGGACTTGGGAGGAGGATTAAGAGGAAGGTGGCAGCTTTCTGCATTAGCCTCGACGCGTCTTCCGCACACTCCTTTCTTCTTTGTTTAATTCTCAAGAAATGGAAGTCAGTTGAAGTCGGAAGAACTCATCAAGGCGTTTTGAAGGGGCTCATAGAGACTTGAAACCTTCATTCCCTGGCACTATTATTTGGCTCACCAGCACTGCACCACCTTGGAGCCTGGTGTGGAATCCTTTCGTTTTTGGTGGGTGGTGGCATTCCCCCCGCCTTCCCCTCCTCCCACCCCCCACCGCCAATGTGGACTACAAAGAATTTATTCCTTCTTTGTAATTTGAAATGAAATGATGGCCACACGTCGGACTGGTCTACCTGAGGGAGATGGTGACAAGCTCAAGTCCAGCGGGTCCCCTGCCTGTGAGGTAAGAGCACCCCCTGCCCGGCTGCGACTGTGAGTTCTCTCTGGGAGGCTTCCTGCCAGTGGTGGGTCAGCTGCCACCAAACCTGGGAACCTAAGCAGAGGCTTTGGGGGGTTTAGTTGGTTGGTGGGAGCTTGATCAGCTTTATCAGTAGCAAGGTGAAACTTTGCCCATTTTTGGTACCAGGAACTTCCAGTGATCCTTTTTCAAAAGTGTTTTTCTCACTTTGGAATGCCCACCCTACTCAGAGTGTCGAATTCTGCCGTTCGGGTGGCTGTGAAGGCTACAAGTCTGAGGATAGGGACCCTCACTATCTGATTGTCTTTAGTTCCCATCCCCCAGGATTGTTGGAGTTCAGGCTGGCTGGTGGGTAAATTTGTAGATTTTGTGTATATGTCTCCATGGTTTGCTTTCCAAGGTGGAGAGAGGGGAGGTTATATGCTTGTTGCACCTGAAACTTAGCCTCTCTTGGACAGGGACTGGTGTCCTCGCTGTTGGTGTGGATCTCTGTTTTGGGTAGAAAAACAAGTATTTTCCTGTGGACAGTTTTGACACAGCCTTGGGAATGTACCTTATAGTAATTCCAAATCCCTGACAAATCTGCCTTTCATGCTCTTTTAATTATGTGGGTCCTTTCACTGCTCAGAAGTTCTGTGAGCTGGTCTCGTGTGTCAGGTGGCTTTCACTGCTGTTCAGACTAGCATCTTTTGAAGAGCTCAACATTCAGCCAGCTCAGCCCGAGATTTTTTATTAATAACGTTATAAGGATCTCTACCACTGGATACCAGAAGATTTTACATCAGTCGTCCTGAAATTTTTTTGAGCAGGCGGGATAGAAATCACAGAAATTCCATTGATTTCTGACATCCATATACCCTGTTGTGTCTTATATCTTTTTTTCCTCCTCGTTTTTGGAGTTTTCTTCTATGATGAATATATTGTGTTCACTTTGTTATTGTTGGTTTCTGTAATTTGCTTACTAAACTTACTGAATATTTGCTAAACTTTACCTATGAGTTAGAATCGACTCGATGGCAATGGGTTATACTTTTATTGAAAGGTTGAAGATTACTTTAGACAACAATAACACACCAAATGGGGCTTCACTGTCTCTATCTCTTTTGCACCTCGTAAGTGTTAAATTTTAACTTCGTGGTCATTGAAGCAAGGTCAAGTTCTAAGTATGTGAGTTTTGGCATTATAATAAAAATGAATCAGAAGTTAAATTTTTGTTCATAAAGCATGCAGGGGAATGTGCTTCATGCATTTTACTTCACAGTGGATTAGAAAATTTATGCAGAATACAGAGTGAGGTATAGTGTGCCGTTATACAATTTATTAAGAGAGAACTATAGCTTTGCATTTAGAACCAGGGCTTTACTTCTTGACTTCCGTAGACACCTGCTTGCAGGTAAAAGCATGAGTATGTGTAACACCACAATCCTCTGATCATGGTAAACCATAATAACTCCTTTTGGAAGTCCTCCCTACAAGTTGGTGATTGCTTAATGTGTATTGTAGTTACATGATGATATGTACTACAGTCCTAAAGCCTTATTTGTCATAGTTGTCTTGTGAATACTTTAATTAGCATTTTGTTTGCAGTCTGTTTGCACGAACTAATGTCATTTGAAAAAATTTTTTTTTTTTTTTTGGTCATTTAAGGGATGCCCCGAAACCAAGAATTTATAGTAGACACATCTTCTCCTTGGCTAGAAAGCAGTGTTTCCAGTTGCACACTTGACTTTTATTACAGTGACAGCTATGTATGTTTTTTACGGGCTGTAAAATTTATTTTCATTTGGACCTTACTATTGGCGTGATCATACTGTTCCTAGTTTGGGAAAAAAGAGAACAGAATTGCACCATATCTTACTCATTTAAAGAATATATGTGGTTTTTAATTTTGGTATTAAGCTATAATATTGTTTAATGTCTTTTAGAATAGGCAAGTATTTTCTTTTGATTTTATGTCGAAGTAGAAATAAACATTTTAAAACCCCAGAGTGTGCATGGGGGGAGCTTGTGTGATTATTTTTGCCTCTAGTTGTATGTGTATTTATCTCCCACTGGTGCTTCTGATGTACATTAAATCTTGGGATTATTTATTAGTAGTAAAAAGAGAGTTGGCATTGGAATACTTAAAGATATTTAGTTCTTGAAGCCCTGCACTTAATTTTTGTGTTAATTTTATTAGATGTACTTAAACATTCCAGAGTAGTGTCATTTTTTTAAAATCAGTAGCTATGTTCCTAAATGTGTTTGAATAACAATTTGTTTTTTTAAACTAACCAAGAGACAAGCATGTATGTCTTAATAATAATGCTCTTAGCCAAAAAATGTAACTTTGCAGTGAATTAATAATTTACTTTTGTAGTGAATTAATAGGAGTCTCTGTTTTGTGACTTGCCTAATGAGCTAACTCCGCCTTCTATGAATGAAGTCTATTGTTTTATTCAGCAACAGTCTTGTTTACCTTAAGTATTAGAATGTAGTTCTGTTGATATACAAATAAATTTAGTTGCCTTCCCAAATATGTATTGAAGGTTAAGCAAAACAAAGAAACAAGCAAACAACCCTCTTCAAATCAGGAATTCTGACAATTCAGTAGAATGAATAAATCTTGACATTATACGGTAAGGATGGCACACGTTGTATTCACACAAAATTGGATACTTACACATCTATAGATGTACTTTTCAAAGTTGACTTCATTCACTGAGCCAGGTAAGTGTTTTAGTGTATGTGTGTTTGTGTGTGTATGTAAAAGCTGATCTGTGACATATTCTTGAGTAACTTGGCTCATAAAATCTCTTTATGTAGACTTTTCCTTTCAATCTTCTGTGACGTATCACCCCCTTCAGTGTCATATATTGTTCAAACTTCAAGGTTTAACTTAATTTTCCAAACAAACAAATAAGCTTTTCCTCAATCTTTTATTCCACATTGATTTTTTCCCATTTTAACATCTATTTTATTTTTTATCTGTAGTCCACAGTATTATTTAATAATGGAATCTTCAGCACTTTCACTGTCTGTTGTTAAAACAAACTTATTTACTAACGCCAATTAACTTATTTCATATTTATGCTTTGCTTCTCCAACTAGTAAGATTATCCTGTGACTTAAATGTATTAGAAACACATTGCCGTTGAGTGGATTCCAACTCATAGCGACCCTGTGTGACAGAGTATAATTGCCCCATAGGGTTTCCAAGACTATAAATCTTTACGGAAGCAGTCTGCCATATATTTTTCCCACTGAGCAGCTGGTAGGTTCGAACCGCTGACCTTTCAGTTAGCAGCTGAGCGCTTAACCACTGTGTCACCAGGGCTTCTTAAATGTATTATAGCTAACCCAAAATATTTGTTGGTTGATTTTGGAATAGTGTAAATAATAAAATAAGGCATGAACTCATATGAAGCCATACTGTTTGCTCTTTCTTCCTTGTGAGACACTATACACTTGGCTTTTGTCCCAGGCTCTCTTGTTCCTTTTCCACTTTCGTGTTGGTTTTAACCAGAGCCTCTAAGCCAGGCTCTTTCCATTCATCTACTCTCTTCTTTTCTCACTCCCTGGATTTTATTTTACACACCCTGTGGTTTTAATTTATGTGCTGGTGACTCCAAATCTACACACTATCCCACGTTTTATGGTTAAGCTCTGGACTTGTATTACCAATTGTCTGTGTATCAATTTTCTTGGCTATCCCACAGACATCTCAAACTCAACACATTCTGCCCCTGTCTTTCTTCCTTTTGTGAATAGCACCACCCTCTACTTATTTGTCCAAGTTAAAAACTAGGTTGTCATTCTTGACTCTTGTCTCTCCTCATTTCTCATATCCAAAGTCTTATTGAATCTACTTTCCAGGTCTCTTCATCCCTACTGCTTCTACCTGAGTTCAGGCAGCTGCATCTCATTGATGAATAACCAAAACACTACCTTTGAATAAAGTTCAAAGTCCTTAGAAGTCTTAAAGGACATTCACAATCTGGCGCTTACTTCTCCCATGTCACCTGTTCACCTCTTTCTATACTTCCTATACTGAACTACTTTCAGTTCTCCTGGAATACCTTGATGTCGCTTTTAATTCAGAGGCTTGTAAATGCTGTTTTCTTCCACTTTCCTCCTCCTAACCCCTCCACCGCTGATCTTTACTCATCCTTCTGGTCTATTTTTCAAAAGCACTTGCTCAGGGAAATCTTCCCTGACCCTCCAAGACTGGATTAGTTGCCCCTAGTGTGTCATCCTAAAGCATCTGAACTGTTTTGGGAATAGCACTTACAAGTTTACTTGCGTATATCCCCACTGGATTGTGAACCCCATAAGAGTGGGGACTGTGTTTGTTTATACAGTGTCTGGAAAATAGTAGGTGCTCAGTATAAATACTTGTGGAAATAATGAATGAATATTCTGGAAAAGCTTTAAATTTTATTAAATGTTAACGTAGATTCAGTAGACCATACTCCTGATTATCCTCCTCCTGCATTGTCCCCTCCTCCTTGGTTTCTTCAAAGTTTCCTTAACTTCCTGACCAGCTAAACTTAGGCACATCTCAGGGCTCAGTATGTACCTGTTTTCTTCCTCTACATTCAGTTTCATGGTTTTAAAAATCATGTATATACTGATAATTCGTATATGTAAACATATATACACATGTATTTGTTTATATCTGTGTGTGTGTATGTGTAAATGTATGTGTGTATATTGTGTGTGTGTGTGTGTGTGTGTGTGTGTGTATGTGTATATATATATATATTTTACCCTGACCTATCTCTTTATCCTTTGAATTTACTCAGATTCCTTCATCCAACTGATCTGACCGAATACTCAGAATTTCCACTTGGGTATTATATTCAACAGGCATATCCAAAAACAGATTTCTGATTCTGTACATCCATTCCCTGAGCTCACCTTCCCAAGTCTGCGCCCTCCTCATCTCAGGCAACAGCAGTCCCATCCTTCCAGGCAAGATATCTTGGAGGGATCTTTGACCTCTC